TTGTCTCCCTTTTGGTGCGCAGGAGCAGGCTTCCCATTGGTTTGGGTTATCTGATGCCATGGCCCAGTAAATAAAGTTGTTCCTGCCTCCTTCTGCCCAGTGAGGAAGAAAGGGCAGTAAGGACAGTCGCCAGTGGAAATGCTCTTGCTTTGCTTGTGGTTAATGTTTAATAGAACCGCAGAGCTGGACGGGACCTTTATGGATCATCATGTCCAGCCCCTGTCAAGGAGGCACAGAGGTGGGAATCAAACGCTCAAACTCTGGCTCCGCAGCCAGATGCCTAAACCACGGAGCTATCCAGCCGTTCAGTTTTTCAACTCCTCCTGCTGTTTAAAGCATAGAAGAACTAGTATCCTCTGGAGTCTTCTACAGCTTAGATTAAAAAGTCCCCTGTCACTTTGCTTCGTGCTTACCCCTGCTCTCTGTGGGGTTCTTCAGAGCACGATGTATGGCATACATGTTCTCCAGAGAAATGGCTCGCTAGTTGCCTCACTTCGAGGACCCCTTCAGAGGAAGATGGAGGGCAGGTGGACTCTCTGGAGAGCTACCCTGCCTATGGGGGCAAGAAAGAAAGAAAGAAAGAAAGAAAGAAAGAAAGAAAGAAAGAAAGAAAGAAAGAAAGAAAGAAGCAGCAAGCATTTCTCTCCAGAGAACTTGTTAGGCCAAAATAGGTTGCTGTGAGGGACTGTTCTGCAGAGCTAGGGTTGTCCATAATGAGTGCCCAAGCCATTGAAGGAACGATCCGGGGACTGGGGAAAGTTGCCCTGCCTTCGTGTTGGAGCCTGCAAGAGATAGAAAAGTTATGTTATTCTGTAGAGAAGCCCTTGAAATCAGTGGGTGTTCAGTTAGTCTTGATTTACCTAATTCCCCTTTGATTTCAGTGGGTCTGCTCAAAGTCTGGGTGCAGCCCAAGTTTGGTATGTTGTTGTTGTTGTTCAACCCACTGTGGCCCCCCTCATTTCCTGTTGGTGTGTTGCTGCTATATTCCTTCACAAAGCTGTGGTGTTCAACCCACTGTGGCCCCCCTCATTTCTTCTTGGTGTGTTGCTGCTATATTCCTTCCCAAAGCTGTGGTCCCCCTATTATCCCACCCACCCTTGCGCAATCTGGTTCAACCCACTGTGGCCCCCCTCATTTCTTCTTGGTGTGTTGCTGCTATATTCCTTCCCAAAGCTGTGGTCCCCCTATTATCCCACCCACCCTTGCGCAATCTGTCCTTTAAATCTCGAGACTGAAGGATGCCTATGAGGAGCTCCCCCTATTATCCCACCCACCCCTGCACAGTCTTTCCTTTAAACAAGGTGCATGTCTCTGCTCACCTTATTTAGAAGTGAAATCTCACGTCAGGGCAGCTCCGAGAGATGCCATTCGGAGCACACGGGCCCTGCTCATAAAAACAGGACAGAAAAGGTGGTAGCCCAATGATATAGCCCTAGAGCCGCTTGGAATATTTCATGGCCCATGGGCATCCGATCTGCCCTTTTCCACCCACCCATCCTGTGCCCTTCAGGTTGCGTGCAGAGATTTTTTTCCGTTTTGCTTTTGCGTGAGTGAAAAATCCTAGATGACCTCTCCGTGTAACCATGTTTAATAAATAAAAGGGTTAAAAAAACCCCACCACCTTATCCATTATCCACTTCCTATTTTTGTCCCCCCCTTCTTCGCCCCCCCGTTCCAGTTTGGGATTTGCCTTGCACATCATTTACATATCTACGCAGTAAATATTTTAGCAGCTAATTATACGCTAATAAGAAAACACCTTTTGAACTTTCAGTCAAATCAACGCAACACAAACCAGGTCTGTCAGGGAATTAAAAAGCAATTAGTTTTTGTAACAGAGTGTGGCCACTGTTTTTGCATTTGCTTTTCTTCTGGGTTTAATTTTTTTCGATGCAAACAGTTCTGTGGCTGTCGGCCAGCCGTTCGGCAAAAAACGGTTGTGGAAGGACCAGCGTAGTCTGGGGTTTCAAATGCATTGGAAAACACAGAAATGTGTTTGCACATGGGCGTGCACGCCCATGCACTCACACATAGAGATAGATGAGAGCAGAGAAGATGCTTTCTTGGGGAACGGTGAATTGAAGTGCTGTGGTCAAGCAATGGCTTGTCAGGTTGAAAGCGGGGGGGGGGAGAGGGTGGTTTGCCCTGTGGAATCTTTAAGAGAAAGCGCCCAGGCTGATCTTGGCAGGAGAGATCTAAGGGGGGGACTGCCAGTCAAGCATCAAATTGCTATACTTCCTAGAAGTGAATGCAGCGTGCTGAATAGAGCTATCCCTCAGCTTCGTCTGAAGCCCAGATTATTAACTAAATCAGCTTGATTTGAGCTGACTTGTATGAAGCCTGGATCAAAGTGGCATGGTCAGATCTGGTTCTGAGGCTAAGCAAAGCCAATTTGCAAATTGATTCGGAACCGGAGCACAGGCTGTGTAAGATGCAGCACTAATTGCTTCAGATGGGGTTTTTTCCCCCTTGAAGAAAGCTAATTTTAAAGGTACCTTGAGCTCGAATGATACCCAGTGTGATGTTGTGGGGTCGAGTAATGGACGAGGACTCAGGACGCCAGGTTTGGAAACTCATTGGAGATGTGGAATTGGGAAAGCCACTCCTTAAATATTTAACATACTAGGGTTTCTGTTCAGACATGGAAACTCACTGGAGATGTGGAAATGGGAAAGCCACTCCTTAAATGTTTAACATACCTTTAAAGCCCTACTAGGGTTTCTGTAAGGGAGGTGGTGGCGCTGTGGGTTAAACCGCAAAAGCTTCTGTGCTGCAAGGTCACAAGACCAGCAGTCGTAAGATCAAATTCACACGATGGAGTGAGTTCCCATCGCTTGTCCCAGCTCCTGCCAACCTAGCAGTTTGAAAGCATGTAAAAATGCGAGTACATAAATAGGTACCACCTCGGTGGGACAGTAATGTCATTCTGTGTCTAGTCACGCTGGCCACATAACCACAGAAACTATTCTTTGGACAAAATGTTGGCTCTATGGCTTGGAGAAGGGGAGGAGAAATGGACAAAATGCTGGCTGTATGGCTTGGAGAAGGGGAGGAGAAATGCGCCCTAGAGTCAGACACGATTGGACTAAATGTCAAGGGGAACCTTTACCTTTAGGGTTTCTGTAAGTTGGTTCTGACTTGATTGTCCATAACAATAACAGTATGCTGTAGCAGGTTCATACTCCTCTTTAAAATCGATCACATCTGGACATTTCATGTACATCAGGGGAAAAACAAAGGATGCCACTATTTGGGTGTTGCAGTGTAAATTAATAGGAGATTTTCCAAAATTGTTTGAATCTGGGGCACATATTGAACTGGACAAGGCTCAGATCACCCTGAACTGGATCTGGGGACCCAGACAAATCCCTGAGGAGCACCCACAGCCTGTCCTATTTTTTTGCTCCCCTCCACCAATTTGGCCGCTATGTTTCCAGCAAAATGCAGAAATGTCCCATTAAAATGGGTGGAGACCCTCAAGCCTGGGTTGGAGGGGAAAGTGTGATGTGGCCCTTCTGGGGTTTCCAGATGGACATACTCTGTTTCCATGATACTGTGATTTAGTAGCTTCCCAGATTTTGTTAAGGTCTTTCCCCCTTTCACAAGCAGCTGAAATTCCTCTCTTGTGGTTGTTGAGCTAAAACATGCGGAAATATTTTGTCCCTCACTTTTGTTTTTTGGCCCCACCCACTCCTCTGAAACCGAATCTGGATCTTGGGATAAAACCAGTTCCCCACCCTGGTGAAGAATGTGCTTTGTTTTAAAGGAAAACCCTTCTCTTTTCCTACCACCAGAATGTGGTAGGATCACAGTGAGAATAAGATAGGTTCAGTGGATTGAACAATGTATGAAAAACAAAATCATAAACAGCTGCATCGCAGACTCATCCAAATCAACAGCCCCTCCAAACAAAGCACCAACAATTTGTGGGCAAATCATAATGCATGTACACTGTGAAGATAAGCTGTTCAAACATCATGCTAAAGATTACTGTGCATATCCGATAGGAAAAAAAAATCTGTAAGATTACTGTAGGCGTAATTAATGAAGGGGAACCAGACATTAAAAAGCGGTGCTTATTCATGCTTCCCTTTTGCTCAAATAACCAGATGAGTGAGTTTCTGCATTGAGATTAGGTGCCGTATTCGGGTTCACCAATCAAATATAGCTTAAATCAAGGCATGTGTTGCCTATGTACCTAGATGCACATACAGCCATTGTAACTAGTCGAATGGACATGGAGGAAATGCCTTTTGTCTCTGTTTTAAAGCAAATTCACCTAATTTCTCTGGTCTCGGATCAATAAGTGGGGTGGAACACAGCTATCCTTTGGATTGTGCACCTTATCAAATTTTGTGGTGGGATTCTGTGCTCAGAAATAGTGGACATACTGTACTTTATGGGTACAAACAGGCATGCATTAGGGAAGAACGCATATCCAAGTGCATGTGCTGGCGAATGGTGTGGCTAGAACTGCATACAAAATCTGTCCATTAGAGAAGGTTGCAGAGAAAAATAAATGTCAATGGCCATGTGTGTCATTGAATGAAAAGCGCAGAGCAATAAGGTGAATCGGAAGGGACTTATATGTTTGAATACATGAGAAGCTGCCATTGACCAGAGATGCACTGATTCGCCATTGATAGCCGTCTCCTCCATGATTTGTTGGAAGCCGTCTCACCTAGAGACCAATGCTTCCATCTTGGCCATTACAAATTCCATAGATGAATAGATGAACTTTGCTGATACTTGAAAAGCTGCGCAGACTGATTTCCTGCACACCGTTACAAACAGGACAACTCGGACCCCTGGAGTCGCTTGACAGATACCCTTGCTGCGTGTCTTGTTCTACCTGCGTCATGTGTAGATGAAGAGATGTTCCCGCTGTGGAGCTGCCCACGTGGCCATGCTCTAAATTAGCCCTTGCCAAGTTGTTTCTGCGCCAGTTCGCCTGGCTGTTCCAAATGGTGTGTAACTGGATTTTCTTCTGTTCCTTTTAGACTGAAAACTACTCATTCGATTCCAACTATGTGAACAGCAGAGCACATTTGATAAAAAGGTATGTTGGGTAGTTGAGGGAGGGAGGGAGGAGCATTCCAATTTCTAATCAAATTTGTATTGTTTAGCCATCCCTGTCCTGCGCCGTACATTCTGCTTGGTTATTTCGTGCAGAATCTTTTCATATGGCTTGCGAGAAAGGGAAAGGTATTTGCATCCTATTAAGATCGCACTTCTTTGGGCTTGTAGAAAACGTGAACACTCTCTCTCTCCCACCCCCTCCTCCTTCCTGGCTGCCTTTGATGAGCTGTGCC